TAATGTACGATTCTGACTCGGACTTTGGCATGAGCCCGGAAGGTGAAGGACGAGGTGATGCACTGTCTTCGTTATGTTTACCGATTCAATCTCTTGGTTCTTGATATTTATTGGTATTCTAACGATTTTTGAATATATTTGGTTGTTGATCTTGTTTCCTTGTTGTATTGAGCATCATTGGTATGGTGATTTGAATATGGAATTCTATAATCTTAGCATCCGGTACGTAATTGTTCACTCGGTTTYTTGTAAGTCTYRGTTTGCATTTAGATGATGTCTTGAACTCTTTTATTGATAAGAGTTTATTATGTATGTTTATAAACATGTGCGATATTGATATGTAATACTTAACTATTTAACTCACTAAGCATTGGCTTACCATTTAAGTGGCAACCTCTCTCAGGAAAGAAGACAGATAAAAAGAAAGAACTCGTTGTTTGACTTGAAGATTTATCGGGGAACTTGAAGATTACGAACTTGCTTTTGGTAAATAGTAGCTTATTACCGTATCTCATAGTTGTAGTAAATGTAGCTTATACATAGTCTTGTTCCGGTTATAAATATGTCACGTATTCTTTTGCTACTTAATTCGGGATGTAAGTAAAAATCCGTTATATCCGGTTTGGAATCATGTTTTGGGTGGTTTTATCACTAAAATAGAACGGATATTTCGAAGTTTTTCAAGAAAATTAATATCCCATATTTTAAGGTTAATCAATGATAAGCCACTTCATCGCCTCTGGTCCAGTTCATCGCCTCTGGTCCAGTTCATCGCCTCTGGTCTTCCTCCAGACTTAGTCGTTTCAGCAGCATCTTCAGATTTTCCATCCTTGGCCCGATTGCTTTGATAAAACTTTTAGAATAATTAGGATCAATTTTGGTCCTAACAATCAATAAATTATATTTTATTGAAGATTTTATAAAAATTGGTAATTTGGGGTTTCTTGAGTGAGATGTTACAAGCAACGAGGAGTTTAGTTCGTAAAAACCAATTCAGCGAATGAGGCCACTTGTGAGGCTCCTTAGGTCGCATGAGCATAAGAAGTCCGGATGTGTGTGTTCGGGTATAGTCGCCCAAAGGCATGGATGCACGAGGGAAGGTTGTGTGTGTGTGTGTGTTCGGTTTTATTTGCTCTATGTGGAGCTTTAGAGTTATATGCGATTATGGAATATTTATTTGAATATTTACATTATTTTGAGTGTATTATTCATTCAGTTAGTTTAGAATATAATGCAATAGGTTCATAGGCATAGGAGTCAATTCAATAGTTTGGTATAAGATAGTTGTCCTTGTTTTCTTGTTAGGAACTCGGATGTAATGGGTGACTTGAGCTATGGGTGGTTGAACTTGATGATCATATGATCCGTAGAGGGGGACTTGAGCTACAGACCGTGGGTGGTTGAACTCGATAACCGTGAAATCCGTAGTGGCTGTCATTTCTAGTAAACGAGCATGACTAAGATCAGTGATGGACCCAAACTACAAACCGTGGGTGGTTGAACTTGGTGACTGTATGATCCATACTTGAGGCTCATTAACGTCGATTTGTAGCTTACTTTAATGGATATGGGTCTCTCCTATGACCAAAAGATGTTATTTTGGATAGTGTATTATCCATTTTTTTGATGTTGTTGGATATGAAGTGTATCCATGATTTATTGTTTTAGCATCTTCGAATGTTTTGGGTGTTTTGGGTGTTTTGGATAATAGAGTTTTATACACGTTTTTAGTATTTTGAATGTTTAATCTCATTCACGTTTTGGGTGAGTATGGGACTTTGGTTTTATGATAAATGAGTGTTTTGACACGAAATTAAATATATTTCATTTGGAAATCGTGATTTAAATAACATCTTTTCAGTTTTACCATTTTTATATTTAAGGAAAAAAAAAAAACTATTTGAACTCACTAGGCGTTAAGTCTAACATTTTTCTTTGTCGAAATATATATCAGATCCTTCGGGAATGGTACTAGTGACACTGTGATGAATTGAGAGCTAGTCAGAGACACGAAAATGATCTAGTTAATTGAAGACGTCTTCCATATTTGAAGGTAGCGATTGTTATCGAGTTTTAGTGACACCCGATCTTGACCTAGTCCTTATGTAAGAGCATGGTTTATCTATGTTGATGTTAAATCTAGGTTTCCTATTCGAGGTAACTCAATTATTGATTTATGGAAATAGATTCATCCTTTGTTTGATGTATTATTGGAAATTTTTATTTAGTCGTTCTTTCCAGATTTTAGGCGTTACAAGATTAAAAGGAGTAAAAATCAAAGATTAAAATTACAGAAAGATTTTAGTTGATTAGATGATTAATTAAAATTCGTCAATAATTCATCGATGATTTCAGAAGGATCTTTCACTACTTCATCTCTTTGGCATATAATGGATGGTTACTTTCTACAATCTTCTCCCGGTGATAAAGCCACATTATTGAACAAGCTAGTTCCTAGGAAAGTGAACGTCTTCATTTGGAGGGCTCTTATTAACAAATACCGGTTCTTCAGGAGCTTAATAAAAAAGAAATCGATCTTGATTAAGTACTGTGCCCATTTTGTAGAGATCATGTTTAATCGTTGGATCATTGTTCACTCGGTTGTAAGGTCTCCTCATCACTTTGGAATTGTACTTTTAAATGGTGGAATGTCAACTACATTATACCCTCTTCTGTCTCTGAGTTTTTGACTTTCAATGGTGGCAGGCAAATCGCGGGGTCGCTGAAGCATGTGTGGCAAGTGGTTCTTTGGATTGTTGCTTATTCTCTTTGAAAACTCAGAAATGCTTATATTTGAAAACTCAATAATGCAAATCGCGGGGTCGCTGAAGCATGCTTTTCAGAAGAATCTTACTAGACTTTTCAAAAGAATCTTACCAGTGTGTTGTCTAATCTATCTTCATTTGGAGTGAACTGAAAATTTTGTGTATAAATAGGGGGTGATTCGGTAAGCTAAATCACACACATTTTCAGAAGAATATTACCAAACTTTTCATAAAAATGTCTTCAACAATCGAAGTTCATCCTACAAAGATAACGAAGACATACATCTATGTCATTGTTATCTTAATATAACTCAAAATCTAATAATAGGTAAAAACCAAACAAAAGATAAGTTTTGGTCAAGAGTAGAAACTCAATATTATGCAACCGAACCGTTCGCAACCAATCATCAACCAAGAAGATCATTGGAAACAAGAATGTCTTGCATTCTAAAAGCTGTCAAAAAATTGCGATGGTGTATCAATCAAGTTCAAATGAGGAATCCAAGTGGTGCTTCTGAACAAGATATCGTAAGTATTTATTGTTTTAGTTAATCATTGTTTTATTAATTTAAATATAACGTGTATTTTTCATAGATGAACGAAGCAAAAGAGATGTTAAAACTAGACGTATCCTATAAGAAGGGTTTTAAGTTTGATCATGTCTCGGACATCCTGAAAGACTCGGAGAGTTTATCAAATGTCACTGCATCGACTCAATATCAACGACAAAGTTCTTATCAGTCACCTTCTTCCGGCCCTGGTTCATCGTCTGGGACAGATGCCGGTTAACCCCCGTTGACTATTCACGACGCAGAAGTTAGTGCTTGAACTCAAAGACCAATTGGTGTGAAAAAGGCAAAATAAAGGCCCCAATCTGATCATAAGCTAGAGACTTTAGTCAATGCTGGTAAAAAAATGAGCAAATGTATAGCCAAAAACAATGAAGTTATGATGAGAAGGAATGAGATTCAAGCTCAGAAAAATGCGATAGAGTTAAGGTTGGCGGATGACAAAATTATGTTCACTGATCTAAATTTTATCACTGAACATGTGTGTTATGTGTTCATAAAAAATGAAAAAATGAGAAAATTCGAATAACGAGAGAGAGAACAGAACCCCAGGTTCATAGGTTTGGACAAGGATCAGAATACATAGGATCTCAATATCGAGCATCTCAACATCAAGAATTTGGAGAAGGAGTTCAAAACCAAGCCAAAGGATCTCAGAACGTAGTAGAAAACTTTAGTAACTATATGGCTAACGGAAACCAGTTGACCCTTTAATTTATGTATTTAGTTTTTAAAATTTTCATTAATAAACTACGTTTACGTTTATCCGGTATCATATTTGTGTTATTAATAATTTATTTTATATATATATCTATATATATACATATAAATTTACATAATAAATATTAAAACCAAAATGTAAATATTTGTATTAATTATTTATAATTTATCAAAAAAAAATTGGATTAAAGGGATAGTGGTGGGGACCACCTTTTTGGTGTACCAAAACCTACACGGCAAATTTGCCGCTCAAATTAACCCTCCAACAAATGTTTAGTGATTTTGCCGTTCGATTGGTTCAAAGAAAACGGCATATATAGAGTTTTGTCGTTCGATTGGAGATGCTCTCAGTAATGAATTATGGGATGTTTGGTTGATTTTCCCATTAAGCATGTATGTATAAAGTCGTCAATGTAGATTAATATATTTGTATAGGTTGTGAAGGTTTTTGTTTAAAAAGGTGTTTCATAGATAAATGTGCACGTTTTTAATTGGAAGAGACAGGTTTTAAAAAACTTGGCTTTCGGCTCTTTTAGGCCTAGAAACTTACTAAACAAATCACTTTGTATATCATTAAACAGTTACCAAACAGTCCAATAAGCTTTGAGTTCATAACCTCATTAAATGAACCTAAAAAAGTTGATTAAACCACATGGATAGTGTCTGATTGGTTTGAGTTTGGCTCCAAAGGTCAAAAGTACCAGGAGGTCTCATGTACAAATCCAAGAAGAAAGAAAAATCCTCTTATGGCCATGGAGGTTCAAATGCAGTGACTCCGGGCTATCTGCAAAACAGGTGGTCGTCCTGAGATTAGTCGGCTCGCATAGCAGGTTGGATATCTAGGTTAATAAAAAAAATATTAAAAAACATAATAATTCCCGTTTGGTATTCAATTATAAATTAATACAAAACATTGATATGATGATATCTAATATACACCCAAAATCTATATGAACTTGCATTCCGGTGCTGGACCCGCCGGAAACCTCCACCGGTCCGTACAGTAGTTATACACCCTGTGGTACTTTTGTGCCCATTTCAATTTCCTCACTGCCGCCGTGTTAAACTTTTCTCGAAACCAACCCCTCTTGGTCGAGTTCGATGGGCACGAAGATCCTCTCGATGACGACCAAATACAAGCATCGGCACTGAAGCTTCTGTAAGATGCAGTGAACGGAGCACGACTCCAATCCGTTTTCACGAGCCCACCTCTCGTTGCCCATTCGTCGGCATTCCATATACTTGAGTGTATTCTCATCGGTTGCGAGTTCGGGAACGGAACCCCGATTGCCTCGTCGTTTCTAAACTCTCGAATGGGAATCTCATCAACGTAAAACCTAAAAACCGATACGTAAGAAAGTATCTTTTACCAAACAAACACTTGTTGTTTCTTATCGGGTAAATGGTGTTGAGCCGGTAAGAATAATGTTGTCTACCTACACCCTTTGACCCACTATGTAGCTAAGAGAGATGTTGTCTCTGTATGGATCAATATAACCTAGCTTAGTTACCCGGTTAATGTTACGCAATTCGAGTTAGTATAGGTTTGCAAGACTATGAGAGCCATTTGGACTTACAATATGCGGTGAGGGTTCCAAATGACGGTATACATGTGGAAATCAGCGGTGGGGTCGAACCAAAGGTGGAATTGTTGCTCGCGATCTCCCTTGCCTTGGCTATAGACATTGGTGTGTAGCGTATAAGGGCTACCACTTGTGTTCCCCAAGAATTCGAAATCAATCTCGTCATGAAAATCGCCTTCTGATGACAACTTCAACATACAAAACGATAGAAATGAGAAACAAGATGGCCTAAATAAATAGTACAAAACTAAAAAAGAATCTTTCTGTGCCGACTATAGGCCTAACAAGAAGGTATGACACCACCCTCTGGAACATTCATACCATATGTGTCTCATATGCGTATCTCAGGCAAGGACGGACCCAAGAATTTTTGGATAAAGTGGCACCATATAAAATGATTACACCTTTCACGAACCTAATTTTTTTTACCTTACCACGAAGGAACAATACGGTGGTACATGCCACCTAACCACCCCTCTAGATCCATCTATGATCTCAGGGTTAGGTGGGTGGTGCCTGGGTTCTAACCCCATACCCCTAATCATTCTACAAGGATGTCCACCCCTTGCCCGCTATGCTAAAACCAAGGGACAGTCTTTTGATGCCTTGATGAGTCAGCTGGTTTCATTTACAAGAAAGAGGAGCAAGTGCTGATTAGGTAAGACGCTTTGACTGGGTAAGTAAGCATCTTCAACTCTTACCGGGTCAGCATCTCAATTAGTACATGTGTTAGGGACTGTTTACTAAACACTTACCCGGTAAGTGCTTACTGGATAATTTTCCTAACCGGATGAACATGGCAAGCGTCAAAAAATTTACCTAATAAGAGCAATGATAAATATGAAGAGTCTTACTCGGCAAGTGAGGGTGACGACTCTTACCCAGGTAAGTGCTTACCAGGTAAATTGTTGCATATGTTACCATTTTGATGTACTATAATCTTACCCCGTAAAATAAATTACAATGTTGACTCCTAAAGATAAGCGTTTACCGGGTAAGCATTTTGGTAAACGGCCCCTTAGTCTTGAGGCGTTGATAAACAAAATTATTTCTTACCCGATAAGAGACTATAAGCACTTAGTAAGAAATGCAAGACCCTTAAAGGTTTTCGATGGACGTTGCTAAATGATCATTTGGTGCTGCTAATAATCTTTAGCGACACGATGAGAGCATCATTTGCGACAGCCTAAAGATCCTTCAAAAAGAAAAGGTTTGACTAGTTTTATGGGAACTTTACATAGTAAGCGGTCACAGTGCCAGCAGAGTTTCCTCCGACTAGCTTCAGTTGCATGTCGATTTTCCCAAACAGATATTCATTTTTCGATCGGAAGCCTGAGCCCGAGCGTTTGTCAAGGCTAAGCACGAGTAATTCCCCATCTTCAAGAATCTTGGCATGGTCATCTCCCCAAGCGATCTCGAACAACCGGTCAAAAGTACCATTTGTTATAATCCTTCCATCAAAATTCAAATGTCATTAACGTCAATGTACGTACGATACGTTATTCTAAGGTTTGTTTAGCACGCAATAAAAACTTGTCCATGTTTGGACAACAATTAGACCAGAACCTGACATAACTAAATGGGACAAGATAGGTAAATTACTAAACTAACCTTGTCAAATGAAAACTTTGAAACCTAATGTCGTCCAGTCCTACAAGGTCCGTATGCAATACGCACCTTATCGACTATAAGAACGTATTGGTGTTGTACATGGTGCATATAAGGATCGTACCTTGGTTCAACGTTGTAGGAAACGGGAGTAAGCAGATAAGATGTGGGTTGGTAGCGGCGTGGACCTCTTCTGCTGTGAGCAATATATACGTCAACCTGTTCAACAAAAATCATCAAAAGAGCAACGCAAACAAGGTGTTCGACGAAATGCGTGAATGAAAATCGTACCTTGTAGAGGAGGAAAACAGAAACTGAAAGAAAAGCAAGAAAGGGGATGCAGTTAGGGACGATGCGACGGAAGCGAGGAACGTTTGAGGTCCATGGCCTCGATGCTGATAGCAAACCCATTGATGGAAAGTGGTGGTTATTGTGGTGGTGTTGTCTCCTCCGTTCATATCTCTCTGCCTCATTCTTCCCATTTTCTTTCTTTGAGGTCTCACTCTTTTCTCTGTTATTTGTTAGGGTTCCACATTTCAAGTAGAATTACAAGCCACCATTTGGCAATACTCCATCAATCTTGGAACTATTTTCTTTTATGTATTTCGGTGTAGTTTATTAAACGTTTATCCGGTAAATACTCATCGAGCAATATTTCTCATTGGATGAACATGGCAACAGTTAAAAATCTTACCTGGTAAGAGCATTAATAAGAATGGAGAATCTTACCCGGTAAGTGAGGGTGATGACTTTTACTTGAGTAAGTGCTTACCAAGTAAATTGTTGCATATGATACATATTGATGTGCTACAATCTTATCCGATAAAATAAATTATCGTGTTAAGTCATACTGTAACACTTACTGGGTAAGCATTTAAGTAAACAACCTCTAAGTTTCAACACAATACAAGAAAACATAAAGATGTAAAAAAAGAGTATCTTTGTCATTTATTATTATTTCATTACAGCCTTCGTTCAATTCTTTTGACATATTTTATTTCATTTCTTTAATAATCCAATTTGAAGATGCTCAAAGATTAATCAAGGCAAAACCGAAAATTCGCGAAAAAATTAACTTTGATGGTTTAACCCAGCCCGTTTTGACATGTTCCAGATATATCAACCTGTTAGAACTGTCTGTTTTGCCATTTTTATAATACTTGTTTTCTATTGTTCTTGATGGTGATTAAGATCGGATGAAAGTGTTGCAATTAGTAAAAACTAGAAAGGTACTCGTACAATGTAGCGAGATGCATCTCGATTTTAATGTTTTGTTTTATTCTTTACCTTTACCGATATAATATGGTTTTATGTGGGTTTGATAAAGTGATAATTTTTTATTTTTTGAATAAAATATAAATTGGACGATTTCATAGAAATTTGAAAAAATAACTATATCGATATTAGTATCAAATTAACTATTTAAAAGTTCTCATTTTTTGTGTAATTTCTTTAATTCAATTTTTTATAATAATTTTAGTTTTAATAACGAAGTAATTTTTCTTTGGTTTAATAATATAACTTTTTATAAAGATAATAATCAAGTATTTTGTTAAAACTCAATGATTATCCTAAATATATTTTAGACTTTTTGTATTTAAAATGAGATGTTTATTTTCTATTTGATTATGTTTATCTGCAGTTAGTCACACGAATTTAAACTTAAAGTTTTAATAAGTTGTACTTACACATAATTTACTTGTAATCTTGAACTTTAAATAATACGCATCAATAAACAGTACTTTATACATAAAAAATGATTTTTAAAAGTTTTTGTCAAATACTTTATAATATAGTATTTTGCATGAAAAACTCAATTGATTTTTAAAATTAAAATCAAAATACGATAATTACAAACGTTGTAAGATTAGCGTAAAAAGTATATTATTAGACATTAAAATACAATATAAAACAATAAATATGTATAAAAATAATGATTATGAATAATGACCATGAATTAAATAATGTCCCATACATATAAAAGAATTCAACTGAGACTTGAGACACGACCCACCCGAGCCATCATGGTTCCACCCTGGTTGCCATCTTTAAATAACCGAACCCACATGGTTAACCCCTCTTGCATTCCGGTGGGTATCCCTGAGGAAACCTCTTAGAATCTGAGCAGTAGTTATACACCATGTAATTCTTTTGCACCCATTTCAACCTCTTTCGTTGGTGGTTGTCCGCTGCCTCCGACAACCATGCAGGTTTGTCGGAGGAAGGGACTGAACCACCACCGCAAGATGACGGTTTCCCTGGCGCCACCACACAAGCCTCGGCGTTAAAATTTCTATAGGAAGCGGTGAAAGGAGCTTTACTCCAATCCGTCTTCACAAGCCCACCTCTTGTTGCCCAATCATCGGCGTTCCATAAGCTCGAGTGTATCCTCATTGGTTGGTTCTTCGGAAACGGAACTCCTTTTGACTCTGCGTTCTTGAATTCTCGAATAGGTGTTCCGTCGACCGAAAATCTGGTGAAGTCATTAGCAAAATGGTTAATTTTTACATAAAAGACTTGAAAGCAGTATTCAAGAAGACGAGTTTAACGTGAAAACGATACGTACAAGATGAGTTGCGGATTCCAGAGGATGGAATAGGTGTGGAAATCGAGCGTCGGATCGAACCATAGGTAAAATTGTTGCTCTCGGTTTCCTTTGCCTTGGGTAAAAACATTCGTATGGAGAATGTACGGATCCCCACTCAAATTACCCAAGAACTCGAAATCAATCTCGTCCCAATTTGATCCCGTTGAACTCATCTGCAAACAATCATCACGTCAATAACCATAACAACCCCAACAAAAACAAAACGAAATATCAACAAAACCTAAAAAGTTCTTACGTAATATGCAGTAACAGTACCAGCCGAATTTCCGGCCACCAACTTGAGCTGCATATCGATTTTCCCAAACAGATACTCGTTTCTTGATTCGAATCCCGAACCAGATGATCTGTCAAGGGAGAGAGTCAAGAGGTTGCCGTTGTCGAGTATTTTCCCACGTCCATCCCCCCATGTGACATCAAAGTTATCATAGAAATTAGCGGACACCAAACAAGTAGACGCAACAGATATCAATATCAGTAGAAATTCGCGTTTCCCGAACGAAAACAAAGCCATATCGGGTTTTCAGTATAAGATTGTTGTATTCACTTGTGATGTTTTTCGATATTTATAAGGAACAAAAAATACGAAGAGGAATTGAAGGTGTGAAGGACTAACATTAATTTTATAAAAATAAATAAATAAATGGTCAAAGGGTGGGTTCACCGGTAAAGACTGAATGGTGGACCATTGAACCGGTAAAGGCCGTAGTGGATTGGATACGACCGGACCGGTGAAAGCCGGGTTAGTAAATCACAGGAGAGAACAACTGGCAGGGTTGCACTGTAAACAAGGTATTTGACCCGATTCAGGAGTGGGGATGGGGCCCGCGTAAGAAAAGTCAAAGGCGGTAGAGTGGTTTCTAGTTTCTAGAAGGCGGCGTAGATATCGCCTTCTCCTATCTCTTCTCCCAACCACCCAATTAAAAGAACTAAAACGTCATTTTAATATAGAAACCATTAATTTTAATTAATATATTTTTTAAATATCTATACTATCTTATAAATCAGATTTATCAAAAGTCTTAAAAATAATTTTTAATATACAAAGTCTTAAAAACAACTCATATAATACAAGTTATCAATGTACATTATTACATGTTCTTTTCATGTTTCCAATATATTTTTGACACATTTCACTTATGTTTTTACTCTCTCATACATCTGTGTCTTGTTCTCATCCCCCAATGTGTGATTCAAACTGATATCCATCATGAGTTATTAAAAGTGCTCTCATTTATCTTTCATTCAATTGCTCTTGAAAACTCTCGATCTCTTGATTCTTTGCTCTTGGTGTAAATCGAACACATTAATGGAGTCGTTTAAATATGTTGGATTTTAAATATATTGGATTTTAAACTGTTATACAATTTTCTTCATCGATAGACTGTAATTGAAACCATAACTCTTATTTATTCAAATTATATTAATATGTAAAGATCAAGTGTAACTTATATCATCGTTAAATCTTCTCTAATAAAACCAATGAAACTTCATAATCGTTAAAATTCACGGCTCCCGCCGCATTGCGCAGGTACACAACTAGTCATGTAATTATGGGTTTGGTTTTTTTTATACCAAACTTTGTTATGATAGTCAAAAATGATTTCTCATTTATGTTTTTTTTTAATATTGATTTTTGGGTCAATTTATGTGTATTGATTAATCTTTCAAGCAATCATGAATGATCTGGAGTCATTACAGGGAAACTTACATGGTCACAAGGGCTTTAATAGTGTCGGAGTTCGAACCCGGAGTAGATGAAGGTTTTCACTACATCCCCTCGAGACTTAACCAGCGCACGATAACCCAGATGGTTTTATCTGTTTAATTATTAAAACATAAATTAAAATGTTTAATCTAATGTGTTTTTAACCTAATTTGTTTGGTGTAGGGCTTTTATTTCTGTCTTTTTTATGTTTTAATTCCATCATTTTGTTACTTATTTTCTTGTGACTTACCCACCTTATGCTGGTATATATTCGTTTTTAACCACTTGCTTATAGACTTGCATAAGGGGAGAGTTTTCATGGAAACAACCGTTCTATTTTTTTCTCGAGATAGAGGTCCGTTGTGTATACATCTCACCCCTTCCAAACCAAACTTTCGAGTGAGATTACTAGATCGATTTGGTTTGATTTGATAACGATTAAAACATAAAAATATGAATTTTAAACAACGTTTAAATGTCCTTCAAAAGTAAGTAAATAAATCCTGGAAAGAATCGTCGGGTCTTCCTCCRATTTCTTATAAAAGATATTCATGTAAACCCAGAACAATAGCATGATGAACCAAAAAGTCTCCAGGACCTATTGTTAGTCCTGTTTACTATAAAAAAGTGAGTAAAAGCAGGCTCCGCTGAAGAGGCCTCGCCTGATCTGAGAAGTGCTAATTCGGTTCGGTACCTAGCTAGTCTTTCTTTTCGATAAGTAAGAAATCGTAACGACCCAATTGCAAGAGCGGAGCTCTACCAACTGAGCTATATCCCCCCGAGCCAAGTGGAGCAGGAACTTCGTGCGGCAGAAGATCCTGAATTTTTTTGGCTTTGAATCAGATTTTTAATAAAGAACCGATTGTTTCAGTTCGATACAGTCAGAATTATCAAATACGGGATTGTGTAGTTGTATAATATAAGTTATGGATGCATGTACTAGAAGTAAAAAATAACATCTATTTGTAAGTTATGAAAAGAAATAGGCTTTATTTCATCTTACCATTTATTTTTATGGATTTTTAAATTTAAAACTAAATTGAAAAAAGTCATTTTAAAAATTTCTAACATCATTTTTGTAACATTTTCGTTTTCAAACATCCAATTACATGATCTCCAAGTCAAATCAATACATATAATTTTAAGACGAAAGTTTAACAAAACATATAATACAAATAAAAGTAATAAGATATAAAATCATCATATATCAAACTTTTATATATATATATATATATATATATATATAAATGGTTGTTTACTTGCCGCTTAATTAGGCTTATTGGTCTATTTGTCTTATTCGCACAGCTCATTTGGCTTGTTTACTTACGACTTATTAGCATAGAACATGGCTTAATCGCACAGATAGAAATGGTGTTTTGTCCACATTCAGCCACAAATGACACCCCTACCCCTCTTATTTAAAGCACAACCTCCTTCCCACATGAGACACCTCATCGTCGGCCTTTTTATGATTTTTTTATTTTGATGTTCAAATAATTAATATTGGGGGGTAAATCGGTCATTTATGTTATTCAGACGGTTGGTTTTGATAAAAAATAAAATAAACATCAACAATCATTTATTCGGACAGACAAATTTATCCATATAGGACTTAATAATTCTTTTTGGTAAACAACCCTTAAGCCAATATCCCAACAAATAGTTCAGTTCATAACTCATAACCATAGATAGGAGTGGACTTGGTATAGTACCGAGTTTTTTCTTTAATACCATGTACCAACCAAATATAATTGATATGCAAAATCTTATACCATGTACCAATCAACTATATTTGGTACCAATTTAACTAGTATCAACCAACTATACTTGGTACCAATTTAACCGACATCAACATTTTATGGTTGGTACTGATTTTGTACCTTCATGTTAAATTTATGAAAATATGTCATTTTGTTCAAATTTTGAGTAGGGCTGGCAAAGGGTAAGGGTAAGTCCATTACCTGGTATGTTTTGCCCGTTGGATAATGGTATAAGTAATTTTAGAATTTTATCCATTTATTCACTTATTCATTACCCATTTACTCTGAATTTTAGTGAGTAGGGTATGCATAAACGTTTTTTCATTATCCATTTACCCGTTACCCGCTACGATATATATATATATATATATATATATATATATAGGTAGAGGTTCAAACGAGAACCCCTGTGATTTACGAAAACGCGAGAACAACTCAATAACCACAAACTTTTTTAATTAATAAATTAACTTTTATTATATATATAAATAATTTAATAAGGGCAGTAATGTAATTAAGTAATTT